ATCCAGAGAAGCTGCTTCATTCTGCAAAAGTTACCACATGATCAACTACTAGCCATACAAATTGAAACACTGGCATCAGGAAAGAAGTTTAAACATAAATAATCTACTCGATGAACCTTCTACCTTATGCAAGTTCATCGACCATATGCTATTGTAAATAACAAACCTATGAAAAGAATGAAATAATATTACTTTCAGTTTTGGATCAATATTAAAATTATTATTTTTTAAAATATTTACTTTTCTGATACACGAAGCGATAGCGAGCTACTTTTTTCTCTTTTTTTTTACAACTCATCTGTAATAAAAAACTCAAAGTTCAGTGACTACATTGTAATCTCTCCAAAGTTGAGATACCAAAACGACAGATGGCCTAGAAAGCCAAATCTCTGTCGCTTCCACCCTGCTTCTCAGTCTTGCCATTGTGTGGGCACAGACATTTCCATCTCATCCCCAAAATCGCCATTCGACATTTCCTTCTTTTCCGGCAATGTCTCTAATCTCGTCGCAAACCACCGATACCTCCATCTTTGTAGCCTTTCGTCAATTGAGTTTGTGGATCAGGGATTGGCAATCAGACTCCATCATTAGTGGATGGAAGTGATGTGCTCGAGCCAGCTTTAAACCCCACAGCATCACCTAACCTTCCGCCATCTCAACCGGCCATCTCGTCCTCGTCCGGTGAGTCGCCCCCATCTGAAAATTTCCAGCTCCGTCCCTAATTACCTGCCCATAACCCGTTCCTTCTTCTCCTAGGACCGCAGCATCTGTATTCAGCTTGAAGATCTTGTCGGGCGGTGGTTCCCATTTAATTCGAGCTCGTCGCCGTGAGGGCGGAGGTCCTGGGTTTCCTAGAGATTGCTAAGCTGTATACTCCTCCAGGTAATTCTGAGCCCTGACCACGATTTCCCATTCTTCGAGCTTAGGGTTGTTAAATAGATGGTTGTTGCGCTCCTTCCATAGTAACCAAAGGGTGATTAGCACCTTGGTTAATTCTTCCTTGTTTGTCCCCTCAACCAGATCAGACAGCCAAGTTTCACAGCTCTTCCCTTCTCCGATCATGAAGTACTTCACAATATTGCTAGGTTTCCACACCCTCCCTGCCCAGTCACATTCCCACGTGATGTGTTCTTGGGTTTCCAGCAGCCCATAGAAAGGGCATTCATCATACGCATCTTTAATCCTCCTACTTAGGTTAGCACATGTTGGTAGGATATTGCTTCCCCATCTCCAAACAAAGATTCGGACTTTAGGTGGTAACTCAAGCATCCATTATTGTTTCCAATCCACAAGAACATATCTTTCAATTTGGTTTGTGGCTTGTTTCTTTCTCCACTCCTTGTAGCCTGATCTGACTGAGTGTTTCCCCGTTTTGTCTCTTCACCAAATCTGTACATCAGGCTTAGGTTGATAAGGTATTGGAATCTGTTTGATTCGGTCCCTGTCATTTGGTTGGAAATGGGTCTGCAACACGTTGCTTTTCCATGACCTGGTTTCCCAATCAATCAGACTTGATACCCTCTCCGTGATCCCCAAACCAGTTGCTTGTGATTGAATTTTGAAGTTACCTGCATCCGGAATCCAACGATCCCACCATATACTAATGCTTTCTCCGTTACCAACCCTCCACCTCGTACCTTCTTCAATAGATTCCACACCTGTCTTCCAAGTAACGCGATGTTAAATCCGTGAAGATCACGAAATCCCATTCCACCCTCGTATTTTGACCGAGATAATTTCTCCCAACTCATCCAGTGAATTCTCCGTTCTTCCCGTTTTCTACCCCACCAAAAGCTTGCAATCATCCTTTGAATTACCTGTATGACACCTTGAGGCACCATAAATACTGACATAGCATACAGGGTTTGTGCTTGTGCCACTGCCTTGATAAGTACATCTTTTGCTGCCATAGACAAGAGTTTACCTTTCCACATTTTGATTTTATCTCGAACTCGATCAATTAACTGTGCAAACACAGCTTTTTTGGCTCTTCCAATAATAGTTGGGAGACCTAGGTATTTGTCGTGGTACATGACCCTTTTCATACCTAGAATCTCATCCATAACAATTATGTATGCTTCTACCACGTTAGTGCTAAAGGAGAGTTCAGATTTAGCTAGGCTCACCTGTTGTCCCGAAGCTAGCTCATAAGTTCTTAATAAGTCCCTCAATGCTTCCCCTTCCTCTCTCTTATTTTCAAAGAAGAATATGCTATCATCCTCAAAGAAGAGGTGGGTGATAATGGGGCATTACTGCTGATTTTAATTCCTCTGATCTTTCCCTCCTCAACCGCTTTCTTTGTAAGTGCTAAAAGGCCTTCTCCACACAAAAGAAAGAGGTAAGGGGAGACGTGGTCTCCCTGCCTCAAGCCTCTCGAAGGTTTAAACGTCTGAGTTTGGTGTCCGTTGATCAGAGCTGCATAGCTCACACTAGTGACACGGCTCATAACTAATCTAACCCAATCCTCATGAAATCCTAGCTTCAACATTATACCTTCTAAAAAATTCCACTTCACTCGATCATAAGCTTTGGTTATTTCAAGCTTAGCAGCTACAAACCCCTTCTTTCCTTTCTTCCTGTTTTTCATTGCATGAAAACATTCAAAACCCACCATAATATCCTCGGTGATGTTCCTGCCTGGCATAGAAGCACTTTGAGTGTTAGTGATGACCATCCAAAACCGTCTTCAGTCTGTTAGCAAGAACTTTTGACAAGATTTTATAGAGGACTTTGCATAAAGCAATAGGACAAAACTCCACAGGTGAAACTGGCTTTTTTGTTTTTGGTATCATAGCTAGCAGTGTGTGGTTCGGAGCAGAAGGAACCACACCTGTTAGTAGAATTCTCTATAACTACAAATATATTGTGCCCCTACTGTGGCCCAATTCTTCTGAAAAAAGAGGGCTGGCATTCCATCCAAGCTCGGGGCTTTAGTTGGTGCCATCATTTTCAACACTTCATAGATTTCCTCCCACGCATTAACTCCTGATTCATTTGGGGTGTGACCTTAGGTTCCACCACTTCCAGAACCTCACTGATACTAGGAGTTTGGTATGCTGTGTAAAGTTGTCGAAGGTGTCGAGTAAAGCAGCCCATAATTTCCTCCTGGCCCCTGAAAATCGTTCCATCCTCCCTCTGCATCTCCTTGATCGTGTTTCGTCGATGTCTGTTAGATGCCTTTTGATGGAAGAAGCTAGTATTTTTATCCCCCTCTTTTAGCCAATCCGATCTTGACCTCTGTTTCCATCGTATTTCCTCTAGATCCAGTACTTCATTCAGCTCTCTTTCTAGAGCTCGACGTTGAATGAGCACCGCCTTTTTCTTCTTTGCTTTAGACAGTTTGACCAAAGCTTGCTCAATTCTCTTTTCCCTTGCTTTCAAACTTCCAAAAGTTTTCCTTCCCCATTCTAACATTACTTTCTCACAGTTTTTGATTCTATCCTCCAAAGGCAAGTCTGGGTTTCTTCGCCACCCAGTCTCAATAATGGAGGAGCACTCCTCGTGCTTTTGCCAGTAGGTTTCAAACTTAAAATGCCATCCCCATCTGATTCTTTCCTCTTGTAGATTAAGTTCTATCTTGATGGGTGTGTGATCTGACACCCATTGATCCAGATGGTAGACACAGGCTTCAGGAAACTCAGCCTTCCATTCCGTGTTAACCACTGCTCTGTCAAGCCGTTGCACAAGGAAATCTTCATCTATCTTTCCATTATCCCACATGAACATATTTCCATAATATCCCGAATCTTCCAGGTGACATTCATCTATGGTGGCTTGAAATTCCTCCATGTTATGAATGTTAGGAGGGTTTCTACCATTCTTCTCCTCATAACTTAAAACCTGGTTGAAGTCGCCACAAAGAATCCATGGTAAGTTAGCTTGACCATGCAGTCTCCTTATCAACTCCCAAGTTTGGGATTTATTTTCTTGTTCAGGCCATCCAAAAACTCCAGTCAACCTCCATTTTTTTCTCTTCTGGACCCTCAGTAATCCAGACATCAATATAATTCTGAGTAGCTGACTAAACTTCTACTCTCATATCTTCTTTCCACATCATTAACAGTCCCCCTGCTCTATTTCTAGTGCCAACTCCTTTGCCTTTTATCCATCCCAATTGCTTAACTGTTTCCTCCCACTTATGTTCTTTTTTCTTTGTTTCCATGAGAAATACTATGTTGGGGTCTTGATCTTTGAGTAGCATAGCGAGCATACTTTTGCTAGTATGTTTTAATGGATAGTTTGGAACTGCTTAGTTTGTTTGGTGGTGGCATTTATTCTGTTGCTCTCTCTATGACTACTTTTCTGCACTTTTGTACGGTAAAAAACTAGACGGAAGAAAACTGAACGAAAAACTCTCCTCTGGATTGGACCCCGACAATCATCCTTGCCAAAACCCGACCCTAGCCTTGCCAAACGCCTCTCCTCTCATTTGTTCGGCCATTTTAATTGAACGAGTATCTATGTGTAGTCTGGGTATCCGTTATCCGTTAATCCTTATGGGTTGGGATATGGATTGGACTTTGCATTCCAAAAGGCAATGGGTACCCGTTTCAAACGGGACAGGTATCCCGTCCCGTCCTATTGGCCACCCCTATATTTATTATTATTTTCAAACGCTAACATAGACAAGTCATTTTTTTTTGTTATGGAAATATTAAAAAACATGCTACATATTAAAAAAGGGGGTTAATTGCATGGTTGGTCACTGATATTATAAAAAACTTTCAAGTTTGGTCACTCAAAATATTTAAATCCATTGGTGGTACTTCAGTTTACTGAAACCGTTCACCTTTGGTCACTCTCCGTCCAACTCTGTTAACTTTTACTTACGTGGCGGTCAACTCTAAAAGTTGACCGTTAAATGTATGATGTGACAATTTAAAAATAATAAAATTACAGTTTTTAAAATTGCCATATCATTTACACCTCATTATCACTTTTATTTAAAATAAAAAACGCTAATTTCTTCTAATACCCAATACCAATACCCCGTCGGCAGCATGTACCCCGTTGTCGCCGCCGGCGCCCACGTCCTTGAGTTCCTCCGCTACCTCAACCAGCTCGGCATGTCCAAAGTCCACACCCCTATCTGCCCCTTCTACGGCCACCCGACACCGCCGGCACCTTGCCCTTGCCCTCTCCGCCAGGCCTGGTGCTCGCGCCATCAGGCTCTACCTCAAGGAGGTGCACGATCACCAGTCCAAAACCAAGGGAGTCAACTACGAGAAGAAGAAGCGCAAGCGTCCCCTGCAGCCGAAGCAGCCCCAACCTCCTCCGCCGCGGCAACACCACCACCACGAAAACCTTATTCATGTGATGGAAACATATCCTTCTGTTTTCTGCTCATCCACCTGGTGCAACTTAGTGCAAAATGTTTAGTTATATATATTACCACCACTAATAATGTTGGTACTAATAAAAATATTAACCACATGGAGAAGATCAGATAACAGTATTGGTATCGGGGATAATGAGGTGGAAATGAGATGCCAATTTTAAAAATTTTAATTTTATTATTTTTAAATTGCCACGTCACACATTTAACGATCAACTTTTAGAGTTGACCGCCACATAAGCAAAAGTTAACGGAGTTGGACGGAGAGTGACCAAACGTGAACGGTTTCAGTAAACTGAAGTACCACCAATGGATTTAAATATTTCGAGTAATTAAACTTGAACGTTTTTTGTAATTTCAGTGACCAACCATACAATTAACCCGAAAATAAGTATTACATTTTTGTTCAAATGTTGTTTTGTAATTTGTGTACTTTCATATTAGTTCAGTTAACTTCTTACAATTATTAATTCGTATTTTGAGTATACTTTTTTCATATATAGTTGACTAATTGTTTTACAGACTCTAACATAGACAGCTCATTTTTTCGGTTATGAAAATATTTAAAATATGCAACAAATTAAAATGCAGTATTAAATTTTTGTTCATATTATAATCATATGTTTTAAACATACCATAGTAAAAAATTTAGCTTGCATTCTATGTTGAGTAACTTTAATTATTTTAAATAACGTCTTGTTATATTATAATAATAAAATATTAATTTTTCTCATAGTATTTTTCTCATTTAGCAAGGGACGGAGCCGAAATTTAAGATTAGGAAGATTCCAATTTTCGAGGCATAACTGTTGCTTACCTTCACATGTGACTAGAAGGTGTGTTCTAAATGGGTCACTAGTGAAGGTGTACTCAATTAAACAAGTATGCAACTCGATTTGGAAGGCTTTATGGTGCCACTCGCATAGACTTCTCATTGGCTAGTAAACATTGATCTTACCCTCCATTTTATTCATTTTATTTGTTAATTTCGTCCGTTTTATTTCTTTCTTTTCTTTAACTATTCTTAAAAAAAAATTAATTTGACATAGTTTTGGATTCGGTCTATCCGACTAAGCCTTAATGGCTTCTTTAAGTCCATTTGGTGGAGCTTAGTTGCCTACAATGGGGACGCTTGTGTGTTTTGTTTGTTTTTTTTTTGTAGGGGCACGCAGAAGAGCTCCCTTTATCGGAGAGACTTCCTAAGATAGGTGACTTGGCTCATGATCAGGATGGAACTATCTTGCAGGATGATCAGAGCTCGGCTCTTCTCTGTAGTTGGGTTTCTTACTGTTTTGTTCTCCGCTGTCTCAATAGGGCTGCCCATCATGTGGCATAAAAGGCCCTCTCATCGGGAGTTCGATTATTGGTCGACTCCCGCGCTCTTTTTATTTTCTCTATATGTCTGATTTTATAACAACTGACCTTGCGGAAAAAAAAAACTAGATCCAGCTTTCAAAGTCTTCCAAAAATTAATTTTTTAGCTTCAAAAAGATATAGCTGTGGAATTAAACGCGTAATTAGCCAGATAGTAGTTTGACCAAAGACGATGAATGTTTAGTATCTTAGATAGAGTATGCAACTTTGATTAATTTGAAATTAATTAATAAATGGAGCTATGTTCCTCGTTCAAGATAAAATAATATCCTACGTGCACTTTTATCAAAGACCAAGGAAGTAATAAAAAAAATATGCATATGATCTTTCTAAGCTATCACTTTGAAAAGTAATCAAATGAACTAGCTTTATACTCGGCCCGTTGGCCGGAGAGATTTATTTTATAATTTATATTAATTAACTTATTTATATGTTTAAATCATTTTGGATCTTCTAAATTTTTTGTGTTCTTGATTCATAAAAGAGTTTGTAGTATGTCTATATTGAAAATTTCCAATATTTAGCACACTCACTTCTGATGCTTCGGTTTTCTAATCATAAATTATGCCGCTGTCACGTCCCACTTATAACTTATGTCAAAATTTGTTAACCAAAACACTAATATTTAGCGTACGCCAACCTGAACCACACACACACACACTACCATACGACCATTGAGTTTTACTATTTAGACTCCGGAGTTTTTTGGGGCATGATACTATACCCTAACCTCTAATAGGTGAACTCTAATCCCTAATTCTCTAACCTCTAATTTATGCAAATACTTTGTCATACCTATCTTCTATCGTATATTGAGTAAAATGAAAAGATATTATACCTTGATATTATATATATAAGTGCCACTCGCCTATCCCCACCCTCGGGATAGAGATCCCGCTTTTACCCCATAACGTCAGACAACCATTGAGGTTGTCTATTGTTTGATATGTAATATATAAAGAGGGAAATTCTAAGATGATGCTATTTATTTCTTATCCTCTCCCGCCGCCCCCCTTTATGGAGAATAAAAGGGTAGGCATGAAATGATCATAGCTCGATATGGTTTTATTCTGTTCATCGTATCGGAGGTTATGTTCTTTTTTTTGTGCTTCTTTTCATTCTTCTTTGACATCTATGGTTGTGATCATAGGTATTAAGCCCCCGAAAGGGATTGAGATTTTAGGTCCTTTGGAAATCCAATACAGATTGATGATCCTCAAGTTTGGACGAACTCTTGACCAATGTTGTAAAGATTGGGACTTTTTAGTGAGACATTCTTAGTAAAGATACTTCATTATTGGATCAATTTATTCATCCATATTGAAACTTGACACACACCGTAGCCCTCGTGATGATTAAATTCTATAATCTCGACTCATTTCCATTTTGGATGTTAGTTTTTTTCTATCAAGACACTTAAATTTAGTATATTATACAATATGTATCAATTGTTAATTTTTGAAGTTCAACCCGTGGTCATTGTTTATATGTTGGCTTAGAATCTCAATCTAAGACACTCGCACACACTATCGAGGATTTTGGTCTTAACATGGTCGTTGAATGTGTAATTTTTGAAAGATTTTATCACTTATATATTAATATTTGATAAAGAGTGTCTACAATACACACATATTTCAACTGCATTTAAAATGTCTTATCATTTGAACAATATCGGTGGATTTCATTTGATTATTTGCACTAACTTATTATCTATACAACATATATCAATTCGTGTTTCTCGAGTTTGGACGAACTGGCAACCAATTTTGAGAGTTGAGATTACTGGATAAAGATACTTGATTGTTCGATAAATATGTTTATCCCAATTGACTATTTTACTAAAAATTGCCAACCTTTATTTGCTAAATTTATAGGTTAGTAGTTGATGAAAAGCGATGTTTATCGTAGATTCTCAATAAAGATTCTCTAACATTTCTTTATGTTTTTTTTTAAGGAATCTTGTGTCTCATCCTAGGGTATGAAGTCAAAGTTCGTCAACAATCATACTTAAGTCATTTTAAAAAATTTTATTTATAATCGTTGACGATAAGTCCAAGTCTGAAAGAAAATTTCTTAGCATACGACTTATGACCTCAATAGAGCTTGCTCAATCAACATGATATAGAACAAATATTATTAATGTGAACTTAGGATACATTATAAAATTATTGCACATGCGATTTCTCTTCATTTTAGGAGTTTAAGGTAGAACATGATGTGAGGAATAAGAAGTCTTTTTTAAATAAATAATTATAACTACTCAATCAAGATTATACTTTGACATTTTGCTAAATAATACTTATTTTATTTTATAGACATATAATTTACGAATAAGAGAGTGTTTCATTGCAACAAAATATAAAGTAATATAGTTTATTTTTCATAGGTAATTGAATGTCAAATGTTTATTTTCTCTCTTTTCATATAATTTTTTTTAATCCAAAAAAAATTAATTTTTATCTGTATGTTTGTCTAATTTCCATAAAAATGTAACTTATCATTCAATTTTAGTAAAAATGAGTAAAAAAATTACTTCATAAGGTTTAATCAGATATTTTTTTATTTAAACAAATGTGGTATATGTTACTTTCTGTTTTCTTATTTATATTTTTTTTACTGGACAAAAAAATTATTATTTATGTGTGTTTGGTTAAGTTTATCAACATATAACATACTATTAAAGCAAAAAAAAAGGTTAAAAGAAATGGAAATATTAAAGAAGAGAGAGGTAGCTTCATAAATACATTAATAACTAATTTTTTTGTTTGTAAAAAAGTTGTACAACTTGGCAAATTGTGGATCCACCAAGTGCTTATGTGGCAAGAGATTGCTTTTGAATTGCCATAATATATAGTATAGATAGATAGATAGATAGATAGATAGATAGATAGATGAGACATTAATGAGTAACATAGGTTCCATGCCATCATAATTTTAAAATGTAATTTTTCTAAGTTATCGTTTTGAAATATAATCTGACAACACATATTGATGGAAATGAATGAATAGCTTTGAAAGCTATAGAGTCTTAAGGTGGAAAAACTACGACATTAATAGTTTTACTTAGTGAAATGTGTATAAAGATATGAGCCTCTCTCCTAAGGGCAATGCCCCTTGGGGTGACCCACTTTTGTCGGAGAGGGAGGACCTAATGGACCACCACACATACGCGCGTGCCGTCCGGTTGGTTGGTTGGTTCACTTGAGACTATTTTTTTTTTTTGAGAAATTCCGAACGAAATTAATTATTAGATAATTAATTATTAATCAGTTATTCTAAGGAATATTCGAAGGATAATCGATTAAAAGGAATAGTCCGCGACTGTCTTAAAAAAGCGACCTAGTCTGCGACTCAGCTCCAAATTCGGTAACCTTGTTGTTGCTCCGTTCCTAACAATTTTAAGAAGTTTGGCAGCTGCTATGTCGACTGAACAGAACAACATGGCCGGATCTGGTGTTGTCAATATCAATCGACCCTTTCGCTTCGTTGGAGTCAACTTCCGTCGCTGAAGACAAAAGATGGAGTTCTACCTGACGGCCAAGAAGTTGGTACACTGCCTCACCAGCATGCCCGTCGAGCTGCCGGACAACAAGAAGTAAGTTGTTAGCCGCTCTAAAAGAAGTAAGCTAGGATGATCTAGGATGCACTCTAAAAGAAGTACGACACAAAGGATCCTTGAGCTAAGAAGTAAGCTATTAGCCGCTACCTGCGCTACCAGATGGTGGATGATAGGTCCGTCAA